AGTTGCCTGACTAGCAATAATGAATGGATCAAACTTTGCATATCTCCTATCCCGCTTTACTTCTGTTATACCGTAAATTGGATGTACTCTTGTGCCTCTATGTTGTACTGGATCAAACCATTCACAATTGAAGAGATACAAAGTATTCCTGTGACCGAGATATTTCACCTCTAATATTTTTTATAATACCCCGTAGAATTCAGAATCATCCCCTATATGGGTGTTCCCTCTTACACATACGCCAGAATTTTCTGTCTTCCTACCTTCACACCAATTTTTTATTTGAAATTTATAACCATTGATCAGAAATATTTGATAACATTTAACTAATTTATTTTGTCTCCAAGCTAACTCAAATATCCCTGAATTCGGCGAATCACTTTCTTCAGAGTTTACCTTTAAATGAATAAGATGTTATTATTAATAATATTAAGTAATTGCATAAATAACTAATTAAGACTAATTATTCAAATATGTCATATTTTTAAACTAAGCAGTGAATTCTTTCTCCACTATCTTATGGACTTCTTCTTCTGATGTACTTAAATCATCAATGAACCTCCTACAAACCATTTTGAGTTTAGAATAAAGTTTATAAGAATAATGAAAATATAAACAAATTAACTCATACTTACTCGAGATATGGCTCAACTTCTTCACAATTTAGTAAGATATACAATGTGATAAATGTCATCTTCTTTTCAGGCAAATAGCACACGGTGCTAGCGCCTAAAAGTTCACCACTTCCCCAGAATATAGATATATTAGAGGATTTACTAATATTTTGAGGTGTTTTACTTTCACCTGATTGAGACATTGTTTCAAAATAATATGAGCAAAACTGAGTTGTCTCGTATGTTAAATATGATTCACAGATAGAGCCTTCGGGTCGTGCTTTATTCTTAGCGCTCTTCTTAAGTTTTTTTAAATATCTCTCAAAAGGATACATCCACATATACTGAACAGGTTCACCAACCATAGCCTCATATGATAAATGAACTAGCAGATGCTCCATAGAGTCAAAGAAGCCTGTAGGAAATATCTTCTCAAGTTGACACATAATGAAAAGAATTTCCTGCTCCATAAAAATTAAGTTCTTCACATTTAATTTAGAAAAGCATAAATCTTTGAAGAATACACTTAGCTCGATCAAGGGCTTTAAATTTGATCTGATAGATAATTAAAAGCAATTGATAGTAGACATTACATGAAGATGTGACAATCATGACTTTTCAATCCGAATAATCTCATTGATCTTATGTCAACACACCTACTTAGATTAAAAGAATATCCATCAAGTACTCGTAGGGTCTTCATCCATTCACAAATTATTCATTTTTGCTCTAAAGTTAATGTGAATGGAGCTTTTGATTTGAGTAATTTTCCTTTCAATCTTTAATTTTGGATTATGTGGCCCTGGAATTATAAGTGACAGAAACATATAAGGAGTAGTCATACACAACTCTGGATGAAGATTATAAGGAGTGAGTATCACGGGCCAACATGAGTACGGTGTAGCAGACTGACTGAATGGAGTAAAACCATCTGCGCATAAATCTAATATGACATTTCTTGGTTCTGCCGTAAATATTGGATGTGTATGATCAAAGTGTCTCCAAGTATCTGCTTCTGATGGATGTGTGATAACACCTTCTTGTAGAATATGATCATTATGTCATCTCATATGTGCAGCAGATCTTATGGATGCATATAACCGTTGTAATCTCGAAATTATTGAAAAGTAGAACATCCTACTGACAGGCACATCCTTCTGCTTCCTTCTTCTATCAGATTTTGGTTTAAATCTTGGTGCATTACAATGACAGCATGAAATCTCTGAGAAATCTTCTTTAAAGTATAATATGCATCCATTGACATAACAATCTATCTTTGTGTATGTCAAACCAAGTTTTGAAATTAACTTTTTTTTTTTAAAATATAGATCTATAGAAATTAGATTATCTGTCGGATTAGTTTCCTTAAGCAGCCCAATGAATTGATTAAAATATTCACGAGGAACATTATATTCTGCCTTGATTCTTAACATCTTCACAGCAACAGATAACTCTGAGTGAGTAGTGCATCTTCTTCAGATTGGTTGCTATGCAGCATGCAATAAATCATAAAAATTTTGTGCCTCCTTATTCGGCAACTCTTCTATATTTTGTTCAAATTGTATTTCAGTTGCATCATGAACTAATTCATCAAGATTTGGTCGGATATTTTTAGCCTCAACTATATTAGTTATTGTAGAATAACCGCATTGATAATCAAATTGTGGCTCGTACTCACCATGAGAAGTCTAATACCAATACCGTGGCTTGAATTTTCTGCGATACAGATCAACAGTTACATCATCTGGTTCTAGGTGCACTAGATTTTTATCTTTAGAATATGGACATCGAAACTTTCCTTCTGATATGAAGCTTGATAGTTGTTTCGCTTGTTGAATAAAAATATTCACCCTATTAATGAATTCATCTGTTAATGTCTTTCGTCTTTGAGATAATCGGTTATACATCCAACTTCTTTGATTTCTAATATCCATAACCTACATATAAGAGCAAAGTCGTAGGTGATTCAATGCAAGGAAGTCATTAAGGTGATTGTATACAAAATTATGATCAATTTGTATCCTATCTTAAAGGGTCAAGCCACTTATCCACCGAAGCATCTCATCTCGGCAACACTTAACTCATTCGACATCATAAAGCATTGCAAAGTCTCACAACCATCTAAGATGTGTACTCTTATTAATGACTTGATCACCATACCCAAAATCACAATCCTCTCTTGCAAATGTCTTATCAACAAAAAGAACATCATTAGCAAAAAGCATACACCAAGGTACATTCTCTTGCAAATGTTTAGTGAGAACATCCATGGCTAAAGCAAAAAAGATATGGACTTAAGGCTGATCCTTGATGTAATCCAACCGAAATAGGAAAATACTTTGTCAAACCACCTTGTGTTTGAACACAAGTACTAGCTCCTGCAAACATATCTTTAATGATTGGAATATAATTGTTATTAACTCCTTTCTTTTCAAGAACTCTCCATAGCACTTTTCTTAAAACTTTATCATATATTTATAACTTCCATAGTAGACCTACCCGGCATGAATCCAAACTGATTTTGAATAGTTTAGAAACAAAAAAAAACATTGAATATAAGCGTTATTAACTTTTTTTTGCAAGAACTCTCAATAGCACTACTCTTGAAACTTTATCATATATTTTTTCTAAATCAACAAAAATCATATGTAGATCCTCCTTTCTCTATATTTCTTCATCAAACCTCTCAAAAAAGTATGGCTTCCATAATAAAAATACCCGGCATGAATCCAAATTGATTTTGAAAAAATTTTCAACATAAAACATCTACAATTTGAATCCTAAATCAAATTTAAAGGAATTACATGAAAAAAAATTAAGGCAGACGACGGGAGGGAGGCGACGGGAGGGAGGGAGGCGGAAACTCACGGTCAAAAAGCTTACTTTCGCTGGCCACGAATGTGGTGATCGTCGGCGACGTCCGGTGATCGTCAACACAAGTCAGTGACGTCGATCTATGGTGAGCGACGGAGGGCGATGAGGGAGAGAAAGAAGTTGTGAGATAAACGAACGAAAGAAATGAGCAGTGGTCGCGGTCGGTTTGGAAATAGGGTTTCCGCCGGTGGATTTTTCGGCATCCTAGACGCCGGAAACATGTCCGGTGCATTATACACCGGTGTTAAGTCGTTGAGTTTAAATATGCCGGTGCATTGTCCGATGGTAACTGCGCCGGTAACCTTTTCACCGTAAAGTGAGCCGAAAAAAATAAAATGCAAGTATATTCCGACATCTTTACCGGCGTAATATACGCCAGCGCATTACCGATGAAAGTTGCGCCAGAAATAACGCCGTAGATTTTTCTGCGTATAATGCGCCGCTGCATACGCCGTGTGTTCCAACACAACTTTGTCCACCAGGAAAATCCACTAGTAAACGCGTGTTTTCTCGTAGTGATGGTTACTAAATATTGTGGTGTGAAGCATCCTTTAAATTGTTCTTTTAAAATAAGGTGATTCTCCTCGCTGGAAAAGATTATGCAACATTAAATAGGAAGCTGAGGAGTTAATTCAATGGGGTTTAGGCATTGGTGATATTTATTTTAGACAAGATAAATGGTTGGGTAATTATTCTATTGATAATTTTTTATATACTCATTCTACTTCATCTTGTAAAGTTAAGAATTTTTTTATTAATGAAAGTTGGAACTTTGAGTTATTCTTTAATATGGTGCCTGATTTTATTATCAATTTAATGCTTAAGATTATGATTCATTTGGAAAATGAAGATTGTATTTTGTTCAATTGTTCCAATGACAAAAACTTCAGTACTAAACAAGTTTGGAAATTAATTAGACATTCTCTGCCTAGACATTTGACTAATGGGGCTTTCTGGCATGCTAGTATTCCCCCTTCTTGCTCATTTTTTATTTGGAGGATTTTACATAATTATATTCCTATGGACTCGATTCTTATCAAGAAAGGTTTATACATTGTCTCCAAATGTCAATCCTGCTATCACATTGAAAATTTGAACCATGTGTACTTTCAAGGGCCTATTGCGATGAAAGTTTGTATTCATTTTGACAATTTATTCAAAGTGTTCTCAACCTTTTAATTTACTTATATCACTGAGGTTTTTAGTCAATGATTTACTAATATTAAAGGCCACATTCATAATATCCTTCCTATCTTGATATGTTGATTTATTTGAAGCAGTAGAAATGCCTCTAAACATAAGAACGTCAAAATGGATGCTGGCACTATTATCTCCAAAATTAAGTACAAAATTTTTCAGCTCTATGTTGTGAAGCTTTTAAAGATTGATTCTTTCAAAGGTTATCATCATCTTTATGAGGAGTTTGGTTTGAATTTTATTTCTCCTATGGTTAGTTTTAACAATAGGGTTATTTACTGGACTAAACCTTTGTTGGGGTGTTTCAAACTCAATATGGATGGTGCTAAAAATACTACTAAAGCTGGTTGTGGTGGCACTATTAGGGATTACAAGGGTGTTGTCATTAAAGTCTTTGTAGGTCCTTCTAATGCTACTACTGTGATTCAGGCTGAGCTGGAAAGCCTTTTGTTTGGTATTCATCTTTGCAACTCTCTTGGGATTACTAATTTATGGGTTGAAGTGGATGTTATGCTCATTATCCATTATATCAATGGTCAATCGTCTGCCAATCTAGTTAAATTTTATAGGCTCAGAGATATAAAACATTGCCTTTCTCTCATATCTTTTAAAATTTTGCATATTTTAAGAGAAGGGAATGCGGTTGCCGATTTTCTTGCTAAATGGGATTGCAATTTAGACAATTTTGTGGAGTATGATAAGCATAATATTCCTAAAGAGGCTAAAGGGCTTGCTAGATTAGACCGTATGGGCCTCCCTTATATTCGGTTACATTAGTGTTTGGTTGTTTTTTTTCTACCATTTTTAATTGTTGTTTGATGGTGCTTCTTTTGTGCTTTGCTTGGGTTGGGTCCTGTGGGTGCTGTTCGTTGGTCTATCAGGTGCTGGTTGGTTTCTTCTGGCATAACTATGGGTTTATTTATGTTTTCAACATCATTGTTTTCTATCTGGACCATCTTAATATAATTTCTAAGGATTATCTCAAGTTTTTTTTGGATTTCTACTTGGTTTACTGCACTTTGCTAGATATGGGGTGCACCTCTAATCTCTATCAGGGTCTCTTTTTTGGCTTGCATTTGATCACTAGTTTGTTTGTTAATATCAGTGGTGTTAATTTTAAGAGTTTTATGTTTTACCTTTCCAGTAAATTGGTTGACTTGTTGGTGTTATGTATTCGGTTGGCTGTTGGTTATTGGTACTGGAGAAATCTAAGGTTACTTTGGTGTTGTTGTAGAGCTGTTATTTGGCTGGTTTTTCTAGCTGTTGGCAGATTTCTTATTGTTTTTGTTAGCCCTATAGTTCTGGATAACCTGTGTGGTGTGTGGAGATGTATTAGTGAGCTCGTTTTTGGTTGGCTGTGCAAGGATAAGGGGACTATGAGTTTCCTGCATTCATTTTTATGACTTCCTGTATAATCATACTTTGATTAGTTGTGCTTGCGGTTTGGTTTGGCTTTCTCCTTTCCCTACTTCTCTGGCTGTTACTCCTGATCTCAAACATGACGTACAATTTTGTTTGCCCTGTTTGTGTTAAGTTCGCCGCCCTTACACCGTTTCGGATTGTTTTTGTTCTAGGGAACACTCTGTTTTGGCTGACTTTACTGCTCTGTGGCTCCTTCCTCAGACGCACTGAAGATACTATTTTTGCTTTTAGGGAAGGATCTGTAACTCTATTTCTTTTATCTTATATGTCATATGCATTTATTTACTCTTATCCCTTTTCACTTGCCATATGACCCTTTTGTGCTTGAGACTCTTCTTTGTGCGGATCTGGCGCTTAGATACTTGGTGTTACAATTATTGCAGGGGGATTACGAGCTCCACTTTTTTGAGTTATTGGAAGGTAGATTATAATTTTTGCAGGAAGATCGTGCTGATTGCTATTATCCTTTTCTTCCTTTTTTGGGTGCTATTTTCTTGCAACTTCTAGAGTGTTCTTAGGTTCTTTTTGTACATCTTAGTAGAAGGAACCATCGGCTCTCAGGTTTTATTTTGTTTTCTCTTGTAGCTCTTCTGAGCATTAGCGAGCTGGATGTTCCTTTTAATGACCTTGTAATCCCTTAATTAAAAAAAAAAAATTTTTGACTGCAATCAGCTCAATTTTTTTTTTAAATTCTATTTAACAATAAAAATTATAACTGCTTGCTTATAGAAGATTTAAAAAACTGTATTAATTCTTCAGCTTAATTTCCCAGAAAAAATTTAGGTTAACATCTTATATTCTTACTATATTAAATAACATAAAATTATAAGTTCTTAATTTGTAAATAAATTAAAAAAATGATTGCATTTTATAAATTTTTTAACAAAGAGTAATATATATCTACAGTAAAAGTGAAGATCTTGAGAAATTTATATATGTTTATTTTTTCAGATTATCAGAGAAAAAAATAAATCTGACATCATTTTTTTTCCTTTTCTGCGCAGTTCAGCATTCACCCCCCTAGCACCTTCCCTCAATGAATCCTCTCTCTCTCTCTCTCGCTTACAAAAAATTTCCAACTCTCTCTTACAAAAAATTTCCAAAGATAACATTTTATAAGAGAAAGTTGCTGATGGGTTATAGGAGAGGATGGGGCCAGGATAAAAGGCAACGTGCGAGAGGCTCCTAGAAGGGGAGATTCTTGCAATTTTTATATTTAGGGCACAAAAGTAGAATAAGAATTGATTTACTCTTTAGCTCCTTTTGAATTCAGATTCTAAGAGAAAAAAAAAAAATAACTTCATTCAGGACAATATGATATGCCCTTTTTTTAGAACAAATCATAATATATGAAAAAGCAATGAACATTACACATAAAATAATGTATGAATTTATCCTATCATGCATTGTTTTTTATCCATTATAGATATTATACTTTAAATTCATTAGCAATCTTATATTTTGATAATAATAAAAGTTTAAGCAAATATAAAATGACAATGAGAGAACAAATATATTATATATCATGAATATAAAACATAAGTTTATGTGATTTAGTAAGATTCATTACATCTATAGTCATATAGAGGTAAAATATTTAACTTTCCAATAAAAAAGTATACATCATGGATTATTATTCAGGGAATGTTGAAAAACTTGTAAAGATATCATTTTTATTTATGTAATGTTGAAAAAAATATACCAACAAATAAAAAATATGAAATGGTTGGGCGTGCTTGGTTGGGAACCCCCATCCCAAGTTCGAATCCCCTCTCATACGGCACGACTCCTTAAGTGGGGAGAAAAGAACTGTGAGTCCTGCACCTGTGGGGTTGTTTGCTGGTAGACTCGCCGAGGGATTAGTGGACATCGTCAAGCGCGTCACAAGCTGACATGGCAGCGGACCGATACCCCCGTTCCAAAAAAAATTGGAGAGTCAATTCGAACTAGACTCATATAATAAATGAGTCAATTTGAACCTGAATTTTTTTGGGTCAGATTGACAAGACGGGTCATTTATTAACACTCCTACTCAACTATCAGAGCTTCTTCCTACTATAATTGAAACTTTCTCCTCTAAATGGAACCAAAACTAGTAGTGCATCACTCTTCTTGAAGAATCAAAGAATCTTGCCCTTGCAAGCACTAGAGAAACTACTTTTTTTCTCAATTAGCATCTTATTTACTCTTTCTCTTCTTTTCTCTAATTGTTTGTGCTTGTGAGATATTAAATCCTTTCTTTTATGGCCTTTTTATAATGGTAATAGAGAATGTGTTTGGAGACAGGATTTACCATAAAGTTTCACAAGATATTATAGGATCTCTCAAGTCAATAAATGATCTTTTTTTATAAATTTTTTAACAAAGAGTAATATATATATCTACAGTAAAAGTGAAGATCTTGAGAAATTTATATATGTTTATTTTTTTCAGATTATCAGAGAAAAAAATAAATCTGACATCATTTTTTTTCATTTTTTGCGCAGTTCAGCATTCACCCCCCTAGCACCTTCCCTCAATGAATCCTCTCTCTCTCTCTCTCGCTTACAAAAAATTTCCAACTCTCTCTTACAAAAAATTTCCAAAGATAACATTTTATAAGAGAAAGTTTCTGCATTATCTAAGGGAGACAAGGTGCAGTGGCTGATGGGTTATAGGAGAGGATGAGGCCAGGATAAAAGGCAACGTGCGAGAGGCTCCTAGAAGGGGAGATTCCTGCAATTTATATATTTAGGGCACAAAAGTAGAATATGAATTGATTTACTCTTTAGCTTCTTTTGAATTCGGATTCTAAGAGCAAAAAAAAATAAAAAATAAAAATAACTTCATTCAGGACAGTGTGATATGCCCTTTTTTAGAATAAATCATTATATATGAAAAAGCAATGAACATTACACATAAAATAATGTATGAATTTATCCCATCATGCATTGTTTTTTATCCATTATAGATATTATACTTTTCATTAAAATGGGGATTTAATTGTAAATTCATTTTTGACTGTTTTCTATATATATATAACAATTTAACACTTAACAATCTTATATTTAGATAATAATAAAAGTTTAAGCAAATATAAAATGACAATGAGAGAACAAATATATTATATATCATAAATATAAAACATAAGTTTATGTGATTTAGTAAGATTCATTACATCTATAGTCATATAGAGGTAAAATATTTAACTTTCCAATAAAAAGGTATACATCAAGGATTATTATTCAGGGAATGTTGAAAAAACTTGTAAAGATATCATTTTTATTTATGTAATGTTGAAAAAAGTATACCAACAAATAAAAAATATTAAATGGGCTATTTTCGTGTCAAAATCAATTTGGAGAGTACCACCGGGTTTAAGTGGGTTGGTGGGCGTGCTTGGTTGGGAACCCCCCATCCCAAGTTCAAATCTCCTCTCATACAGCACGACTCCTTAAGTGGAGAGAAATGAATTGTGGGTCCTGCACCTGTGGGGTTGGTTGCTGGTAGACTCGCCGAGGGATTAGTGGGCATCGCCATGCACGTCACAAGCTGACATGGCAGCGGGCCAATAGCCCCGTTCCCAAAAAAAAAAAAATGGAGAGTAAATTCGAATATGGATTTTTTTGGATCAGATTGACAAGACGGGTCATTTATTAACACTACTCCTACTCAACTATAAGAGCTTCTTCCTACTATAATTGAAACTTTCTCCTCTAAATGGAACCAAAACTAGTAGTGCATCACTCTTCTTGAAGAATCAAAGAATCTTGCCCTTGCAAGCACTAGAGAAACTACTTTTTTTCTCAATTAGCATCTTATTTACTCTTTCTCTTCTTTTCTCTAATTGTTTGTGCTTGTGAGATATTAAATCCTTTCTTTTATGGCCTTTTTATAATGGTAATAGAGAATGTGTTTGGAGACAGGATTTACCATAAAGTTTCACAAGATATTATAGGATCTCTCAAGTCAATAAATGATCTTTTTCAAAAATTTAATATTAGTAAAAGATCTTTAAAGTTTTCTTGTAACCTAAATAATTACTACTTAATGATTTACATTTTAGAGGGTACTCAACTAAATCTTATAAAAATTTGTTACATAAAATTTGGCTCCACAAATCTAATATTCTAAACTTATGACAATTTACATGTATTTTGGCCTTATAAATAAAAAAGATTTATTTTTATGATATGAGAGAAAAAATAAAATAAAAAATATAATATAAATCATAACATAAACTCATAGTATGTGTAAGAAAAAATAAATTTAAAATAAAAATCTTTCTCATTTCTTATAAGAATGCATCATTCAATATTAATTTTAAATTAAAAGTTCCAAAAACTATACCATAACTTTTATCCCAACTTTGTTAC